CATGCCATTCCTTAAATTAGCCCAAAGGATCAAACTGATTAACCAATATGTGGCGTTTTATGCCTCTGCTTACTCCTGTCTTTTAAAGATAGGTTCTCGTTTTAAGTTGTGTGTGGGTTTTTTAAATAACTTTTTTCTCTTCTTTTTGTCTTGGTGTAAGTTTCTTCGGAAGGCTTTTGTCTGACAAAGGAGCAAAAGGAGCATAAATCCCACTTCTCATGACAGGTCCAGACAAAGCCCCCCCCTCCCCCCCATTATGGAAATAATTATATAACAATCATGAAATAATGAAAGGCTTAATCTGAAAGGGTCTGATAAGTAATTCACTGTATGAGTCATGGCTTGAGCTAGTGCCACATTAACGTGAGCCAGGACTTGGGATTTTCCTACGGAATAATGCAGATTTGAGGGAGATGAATTTTTCCGTGGTTAGCCTAGGAAGACCTCTCCTTGGATGTACTAGCCAGAATCATCTGGCAGTCCATCTGCAAAGCCCCTGGGCTGCATGCCTAAATAATGCGATGGTGATATTTTTGTGATGGAAAGCCATCTCTCTTAAATAGTGCTTTGTTTTTTTTCCCTCACAAGGAACAGGCAAAGCTTAACAGAGGCTAAAGGAGAGGATCTGTAAAGGAGATCTGTGAAGGAGTGATGTGGTGAGCCAGCAGGCCTTCCTGCTTTCCCCTTTGCTGCTTTTTAATTGCTTCAGTAAATAATAATAATAATAATGATAATGATAATGATAATGATAATGATAATGATAATGATAATGATAATGATAATAATAATAATAATAATAATAATAATAATAATAATAATAATAATAATAATTGGGGCAGGGACTATGAAACTTTCACGATCTTATTAAAACACTCTAAGCTTCCACCAGAAGTAATACAAAAGAAATGTGATGAATTTATAAATTACAACTGTCTCTAAGTCACGAAGACAATGAAGATATTCTCTAATAAGGGCAGCTATCAAATTATGCACAAGATTAAACCTTCCCAGTCTCAGCATCCATCTTTCCTGGACCCAGTTAAGCAGACTGGGACATGGTTAGTAGACGGGACACAACCAAGGCTGCAGGCTAGACTGCAAAGTGCAGGAAGTCCTCAATTTACAATAGCTCATTTAGTGGTCGTTCAAAGTTACAACGGCACTAAAAAAAATGACTTATGAACATTTTTCACACTTATGACTATAGTAATAAAGTTGGAAGGGACCTTGGAGGTCATCTAGTCCAACCTCCTGCTCAGGCAGGAAACACTATACCATTTCGGACAAATGGCTGTCCAATTTCTTCTTAAAAACTTCCAGTGTTGGAGCATTCACCGCTTCTGGAGGCAGGTTGTTCCACTGGTTAATTGTTCTAACTGTCAGGAAGTTTCTCCATAGTTCTAGGTTGCTTCTCTCCTTGATTAGTTTCCATCCATTGCTTCCTGTCCTTCCTTCAGGTGCTTTGGAGAATAGCTTGACTCCCTCTTCTCTGTGGCAGCCCCTGAGATACTGGAAGACTGCTATCATGTCCCCCCCCTCGTCCTTCTCTTCGTTAAACTAGACATACCCAATTCCAGCAACCGTTCCTTATATGTTTTAGCCTCCAGTCCCCTAACAACAAACTTGCTCAACCTGAAAGGCAAAAAATGAGATGCCCAAGAGCTAGTTAAGAAGGGTACAAGGACCTTTGGGGAAAAAAAAATAGGTCCGAAGTGACATTTCAAAATTGGCGCATCACGTGGCAAGTGTGGGTGTGGAGGGGCCGGTCTGGAAGACTTTGCTTCGCCTCCATGGATCTACGAAACTGAGTTGTGTGTTTCTTTCAACCAACGTTGCCCGTCTTGCTGATATGTTAGGCGCTTCTGGAAGGCCAGATTTTGGAACTAAAGCAAACAGGATGAACGGAAGAGTTTGGTCATTTCTGGAAACCGATTGTTACATTTGTGTCCCCAAGACAGTCCCAGCAACATCCAAGCAGCACAAAGAAGGCTGACTATGGGACTGGAGGGGCGTGTCGGTAGGCCCAGCAACTCAGACTTGCCTCTTGGCCGTGGGAAAGTAGCGGGAGCAGGAAGCCCCATCCCAAGCGCAGTAGGGGTCCCTGGCCAGGCAGCACTCAGCGCAGGCTTTCCCATACACATCGCAGCGGTGAAGAGGAAGCTGGGAAACTCCGACCGCTGAGCCGATGTAGAGCTGTTGCTGCAGGGTTAGGAAGAGAAGAAAGAAGTAATCACAAACTGCTCAGCAGTTTTTACTCATGCGTTTAGGAGCAATTTCTACCATTGTGGCATGCAACAGAAACCATATATTGTGGGACTTGTAGAATTAGGCAGCTCGCCAGAAGGAGAAGCTCCTAATTTTTAAGGAAAGTGGAGCTCTACAAGGAATCTTTTGGGACATTATTAGATGCGACAAACAAGACAGATAGATCCTACTCCACATTTTCATTTCTCACCCATCAATCCATCCATTTTACATGTTATCCTGCACGGCGCATCCAATATCTTTTCCTTCACTAGGAGGGATGCTGAAATCTGCGTCATTGGGCCTAATTTGAATGTATGTACTCAGATACTTGTGGGCCAAATGCTTTGCAAGCAGCAGTTCAAGCCAAACACCTGCAAATGACTTAATGAAATAAGAGATTCGGAGGGATGTGCAATAGCAGATAATAACAATAACAATAATAATAGGGTTGGAAGGGACCTTACAGGTTTTCTAGTCCAGGGACGCTCAACGTTGGCAACTTTAAGACTTGTGGACTTCAACTCCCAGAATTCCTCAGCCAGCTTTGCTGGCTGAGGAATTCTGGGAGTTGAAGTCCACAAGTCTTAAAGTTGCCAACGTTGAGCACCCCTGTTCTAGTCCAACCCCCTGCTCAGGTAGGAAACCCTATATCAGTGGTAGCGAACCTATGGCACGGGTCCCAGAGGCGGCACTCGGAGCCCTCTCTGTGGGCACGCATGCCGTCACCCCAGTCCCGCCTCCCCCCATGGCCCCCCTCCTCACCAGCAACCTCTCTGGAGGAGAATCGCCCCTGGGTGCAGCCCACACGGAGCAGCACAGCCAAGGACATAGCCGGACAGCAGGGACACGACTCTGCCCTCGCACCCCATAGTGTGCAGATGATGCTGCGGGGTGTGGGCAGAGGGCGTGGCTGCCATGGTGCTGCAGGGCTGCCTTGGTGATCTGCTGCGGGCCATGGAGGCAGTGCATATCCCTGCAGGTGGGCGGGGCAGGGAGCGGGTGGGGGCAGAGCAGGCAGGGTGGGAGGTGGAGCGGGGCAGGGGCGGCAGTTTTTGGGCACTCGGTCTCTAAAAGGTTCGCCATCACTGCCCTATATCATTTCAGACAAATGGTTGTCCAGTCGATTTGTAGAGCTCTTTTTGCAGATCTGCAAAAAGAGCTTCAGAGTTCTTGGCCACACAGCAGCAGGCCTCGTCTGCAACTTTTTAAAATCAGCTGCTCATCTCCACTCCAAGGCACACTTGGGCGATGAAATCCAAACACTGTACAGTCCTGGACGCTAGGGAGGAAAAGGCCCTGGATTCTGCCCAGATGCCTGGAAGCATCTGCAGGGACACCGATCCCCTTTATCTCCGACTGCGTGGAGAAAAGCAACTCTTTCATCCAACAGATGAAAATTGGGAAGGTTTCTTCATTGTAGCATTTTTGCACACCAGGAGACAATAAACTCATCGTTTCCTCCTAAGAAAGTCCGTTCCTTCTCAAAAGAGGAACAGCAATGCACCGAAGACCTACAGCCTTGAAAGTTCTGGAGACAGGAATCAACATGTTCTCGAAAACCCCGTTCAGTGCAAGCGTGTGAAGCCAGAAACCTGTCAGAGCACATCACACACAACTGTGTTGCTAGACTGACACTTTATAGGCCCCACTTTGCACAAATGACTTGGGCTTTCTTAGATGAAGGGGGGGCTTTAATGTTGGGGGTTTGTTTGCCAGAGATGGGGAGCGGGCAGCTTGTAATCCCTCCTGAATACACGAACAGACCTTTTGATCGAAAAGTCGTACTTAAATGCACGGCTTGTTATACATGAATTCGGCTCTTTTTTTAAAAAAAAAAGAATGTGAAAATAATCAAAAGCAGAGTGTTCTGATATTCACACATGGACGCCCAGTTGAGACCTCAGCAGAGTTTTCAGCAGAGTTTTTCTCATAATAGCCCATACTTTAAAATCTCTCTGTCTCTCTCTGATAAATTCTACAGTGGAAGCGATTCCAGACAAAATACTTCGTGTCAAATACATTTGTTTTAGACAGGCTCCTAATATTTAATGAGGTTTCCAGCACATTTATGATCAATAAATCATAAATCGTTATAATCAATGTCAATAAAACAAAGACAGACTTGCTTTTTTAAGTTTAACATTTAAAAAAAAAAAAAAAAAGGATTTGTTATAATGTTAGAAGAGTTGGAAAGGATTCCAAGCAGGGTCTCTGGCTTTGCCTGAAAAAGACCCCAGGATAAATCTCCAGCGAGCAACCTTCAACCAACCTCTCAAGAGACACTCCTCTAACCATTAGGGAGTCCTGTCCTGCAGTGAGTCAGAAACAACGATCTTTTGGCAACACACAGAAAGTAACCCCCTCAAAGGCCACCTCAAGAACTCAAAGGCCACCTCAAGAACAAAGGCCACCTCCAAGAATGTGGCCTTCTTGGAACAGGCCACATTGTGAAATGTTGGTGTTTTTGAAAAAGTTAAGCAGAATAACAGAGTTGGAAGGGACCCTGGTGGTCTTCTGGTCCAACCGTCTTGCTCAGTCAGGAGACCCCCATTCCATTCTAGACAAATGGCTGTCCAGTCTCTTCTTAAAAACCTCCAGTGTTGGAGCACCCACAACTTCTGGC